AAATATACTATAAACATAGTATATGTAAAATATTATAGATGACTGTACATATTAAGCAACAAATGAAGGTAGTAAACCAACTGGTTCCAACGCAACTAGCTCGCCTTCTGTTATAGTCATTCTCGGCAAATGCACCGATATAATCAGCATAATATTCATTTTAATTTATAATGCAATTAACAGGCGTGAGACGTTCGGATTATGTCCTTATATTCAATCCACTTCGAAAAGAGGTTACGACTGTATTATTCTTTGTGTCTATTACAATTTAGATGAATCTTTTGCTAATTAAAAAGATTGAATGATTGAATATTTTTTTATTACAAATGTAATATATATAGATAGAATAAGCAATAGAATATCAGCGCTACAGATTTATCTGTAGCTTAACGTTAACTTGGTCGTCTATTCACCTTTGCGGCAGCACAAAAAGCCTCCATATCTTTTATTTGCACATTTATTTTTTCTGTACCTCAATTATGCTATGTGTTTGTAATTGATAAATAAAGAATTTATCATTTCTTTATCTATGTAGACATTCCAAATTAACAAATAGTTTAGAAAATACATTTTAAACTACTCATTTAAAATAAAAACTCTAAGAATGTACTCACTCAGAACAAACTTGGACAGTACATTAATAAAAAATTAATAAATCAATACAATATGTATAATTTGGATTGAAAATTATATTATCATATAAAAATAATAATATTAAATTATATATCATATATATATATAAAGAGGCTTATTTTAACTCAGTTTTTGATCAATCAATAATCTAAACTGCTGTGGTTAAAAATAACCAATTTTGCCATAGACAATTTTTACTGGAGTGGTCTATCTAAAAATATATCTTTGGTAAAAATAGAAAGTAAAGCAACATTATTCATAAATATTTACTTAAGAATATCATACAAAATGAATATTAAATAAAACGAACATCATAGTAGCAAGTACAGATTTATTGGTTGCAGAGACTGTGCAACACTTTAGCGAAACGTCAAATTAATCACAAAACAAGATACTGCATTTAAAATATCACTATCTTCTCAAAAAGAAATTACAAGGTTGGCTCGTACGTGAATAAATCCATAATAAATGGGGGACTTATGCATATACGCCTACATTACGTATTTACAGTGGAATCTGGTGGAAGAGATATTAAAAAGAGTGTAATTTACCAACCACCAAAGTACATTTGTGAAACTCCTTACTTATAAATCTCTACATGATAAGGATCAGCAATGTTATGATGATTCTTATGAAAAAAGATTTTTTCAAATCCCTACAAGATGAGGATAGACCACTCAATTTTCATTATTCGGAATTTTTTTATGTTCAAAACATACATAGTCCTTAGCTTTTCACCCTTCTATATCAATAATTGACAATAACTCCTATTTTTAATAGCCATATTAGTACACAAATAATGTTCTACTCTCGTTGGTCGATAACTTTATATGACAAAACATTGTTTGCTGGGTCAGCCAGTATATACATACATTTTAAGCAATTATACTTATGAATAAATTTCGGACAAAAAAAGGTACCCTGTTAAATTCTGTTCACAGATTAACTTCCAGGCTAGGATACTTTTATAAATATATAGGAGTAGTGAAGATTATTATTTGGCCTAGGACAATTCAATACGATCAGTAACATATAAAATTACACCGTTAATCTCCTAAAATAAATATATTTAACTTCTAGGCGGGGCTACTTTTATCCAGGCAATGAAATGCTCTGTATATTTCATCCATTTTAACGAAGAATGGAGAATCTCCCTGAGGAAGGAAAGGAGAGGAAGGAACGGAGCGAGGACGAGGAGGAGCATACCCATTTATAATTGAAAAATAATATTAAACCAAAGCATTCCCTGAATCAAGTTAAAAATAACACGTGAATTATGTTGGGTTTGACACAACGATATAAATTCACACCCATATTTAACTGAACGCCAAGTCCGATGTAACACAACTCAATGTGTACACACTTCGTGATATTTCGTTACAGTTTATGATGGTGTTGCTTGAAAAACTGGCTTAGCATTCAGATTGGATCGATTTCTTTGAAAACACTTAAATGGTCTTGTGGAAAACATCTACCAAACAGTATTTCATTCATGGAAGGACAGACCTACAGTCAGACGAAAATTAACGAAATAAAAAAAGTTTGATTCGAGTAAAAATAAAGTATTGGCAATGATAGCAGCGTCTACTTCACCAGAGGGTTAGTTAGAAATGGAAATTAATACAATTTTTTTTTGTGTATCAGATAGATTTGAACTCACAAGAGCGTAATGCAGAGGAGTATGGCACAAGACCATGACGCTCGACAACACGAAAAATATTATGCAATCAAATTGTGTAACTTAGTAATTCACAACAAAATCAGATTAACTGAGACTACAGGTACGTACGACTAAATATTAAATATACATTTTTAATTAAAATACCAATATAAAAAGCACTCTGGTTTTGACGGTTTCAACACGGAAAAAAGCACTCTGATTTGACTCTTTCAGTACAGAACTAAAAGTTAAAAATAAATTTTGTAACTAAAGTAACAAAATAAAAAAGCACTCTGATTATGATACTTTCAGCATGGATTATATCTATACATATATTTGGATATGGAGGTACACATAACCATAGTTTAAAACAGAAAACAGCACTCTCATATTTACTCTTTCAGCTTCAGGATATGGATGTTTAAATAACAATAGTTGCACAAAACCTCGTGGTATTGTTCAGAAATTTTTCTCGGATTGTTAGCACTGAAAGTCGTACTATAAATTCAACAGAGACAAGAAACATTTTGTTCAATGTTGTAGACTTCGTGCCGTTACATTGTCGCATCTATACAGGGCTTCCACACTCAAATCAAATAATAATAATATCCTAGGACAATTTACGCAGCACCATCTAATCCCAAACTGAGCAGTTAACTTGTAATAGTTTTAGTTCTCATTGTGTCTCAGAATTATAATAAAAAATTCAAATTATTTATACATGTATTCTCAAACATCTATGTATACAGACTCTTATGTTATGTCAAAGCCACCGTCAGTTCGCTGTACTTTCGATCTAAGAAAAACTTAGCGCTTATTCTTTTCAAATGAGATTGTACCTGATTCCAAAAATACAGATTCATTTTTAAATTCAATTATGGTCAATGTAGTGATCACATTCATCCTAACTGAATTAGCATATGTCATTGCATTTTTGTTAAAAGGAAATAATTTAATCAGTAGCCGTAACCCCAACTCATGAAACTAAATTGATATTACCTAATATAATATTATACTCATGCTTCGTCCTCGAGATTAGTAATTTGTAAAGCAATAGAATGTATGTAGTTATGACATATCAGGTAAGACTTTTCAAGAGAAGACGTGTCTGATAATTTAATCAAAATTGTAAAAACGAGTATAATTTTGACTCCTATGAAGTTGCGTTGATAAAACGGAAGATGTCGCATGTTTAGCAAATTGAATATAAAAGCCACACCAGACTAAAAATACCCGCAATCAACAAAAAAGGACACAAGCTATTTCCCTTTAAACACTGGCATCTCAACTACATTTCTAGTTAATTTAAAGAGCAATTAACTCTATATACAGTTAACCAATCAGGTAACTATCAACGTCCGTTAATTCTATACCTAGCAATTAACGACTCGAATGGAACAGGTACGATTGTATCCGCACATATTTCTATTTTTTTTTTTGTGGTTTCTGCCGACATCCAGATTATTATCTGTACAGCGCAATGAAACCAGTTACAAATTAAACGAGTAGGTATCTATTGATATCTAAGAATATATTACAATAAAAAAAATACAATTTAAATCGTGACAAAAGTTTGAAACTAGTACGTTTCCCGTTTGGGACAAAAACACATAAAAATCAATTCATTGCTGGTAAGATGTACTTACCGCACCTAATATACAAACAAGTAAGTACATAACAAAGTAAATAACTACATATATGCATTTTTAAATAAAGATTACTATTCTATTTCATTTTCAATTACCAACAAAACTCTGTGCCATAAAAACGATGCATGCGTTATTATATTTAACTAGCCACTTGCCCTAGTTTCGCCCGGGTGTATATGTATTATACATATAAACCTTCTTCTTGAATCACTCTATCTATTTAAAAAAAACCGCATCAAAATCCGTCGCGTAGTTTTCAAGATTTAAACATACATATGGACGGACAGACAGCAACAGCGACTTTGCTTTATACTATATAATATTAATATTTCGAATTAAAATTTTGGTCTGTCATATACTTATAGTTGGCACAAAAGGCCTTATATTCTTAAATCAAAGAAGTAAAAAATTGCATCTTTAATTATTAGACAAAAATATCTAGTCTTTCTTAGCCACTGGTTCATATTGGATTTCTTTCAAGCGATAAAATGCGTAACGCTTAAGCTCTATTGATAAATAAACCATGTACATATTTAAATATGATCTATATTTGAAAAGCAATACTTAATGAATGTCATATGATGACGAATCAATTTTGATCAATGAAATTGATATAAAAATTCCATAATAAATTTTCAAGTACCCGGTTGTATTTATATGACTACAAAAAATGTATAGGTGAGTAGTACTAGTCATTTTCAGTGTAATAAGCAAAGCAGACCTTGTTTTGAAATAAAACCAACTGACGGTGTTTATGATGATAAGTACCATAGACAACATATTCATTACCATTTCTGGCGACTATGTCGAAATAGTATATATTGTTACCCTGTCACTGCCATTTTTCGCTCTTCAAACCGGAACAGCTTGCAAAATAAGAGGAGATAATAATAACCACCCCGAAATACCCTTCTATTAAATTGGTAATTTTTAATTAGCGATTATGGTAACGTCGTCACTTTACAACTATGTTATATATTGCCTATTTAACGACCACTCATAAATATACCATTTTACTGTTACACTATAATAATATTTTATTGCATTTAATAACTTACCCAGTAAAACAGCTTGTCTATGATCAGTCAAGATGGCGGACAATCACGTGTCAGTGTGGACAGGCCGTCGCATTGTCGTCTAGTTACTGTAACAAGCAATGGATATCTTTTAAATCATTTTATGCCTTATTAATCTAAATATAAAAAAACTATAAATATACTCATTTGTCTAATGTACCTAATCTGGTTGTCTATAAGAGATTGGTTTTAAAGATAATCGCCGCCTTTTATTACAAGTGTTCTTTTTTTTTTAATTTTTAGGTAACTAGAAGGTCACAGAAGCTGACAATTGATCTGATTGTAATTGGTAATTCTTGACTATATAGATATACATGAACAGCACCACGGAAATCTCGTTATTATATAACTGTGGACTCATGCCTTACCATTCTTGTGGACTAAGTTTTCATGCCACCATAACCTACTACATTTCACTAGCTAGAACTAGAAAATAGCAAATCAACTGCTTAGTGAGAATAGAGGCTGGCGCAACTTTATACAATGTCTCTATACAAACGCTTCATGTTGCTAAAGAGCCAAGACTAAGATAGAAATAAACCAAAATATGTAATACAAAGTACAGAAATATTAACGAAGCTGGAGCAAAATGAGCGGTAATTGCATGCCACGTAAGGTTAGTAGATACCACTAAAAACTATGCAATTAAGGATGGTAAAAAAATCGATAATCGAATAAATATTGTAGATTATTATTCACGATAAAATAAATTTTAATATGTCAAAAAATCTATCAATCCATAATCGATTAGACCAATCGAGTACAAATATATTGGTTATGGATAGATAATCGATTATGTAAATATCTATTATAAATCTAATACATCACTATATGCAATTACTAGACAAGTCTACTTGTTATCTGACAACTAGTCTGTTGTATAAAAAACTGGTCGCTATCTGTACAAGGGATCTTTGAAATACAAAAACTATTTCTAAGGAACATTATCTACCTAATATAACATAAAACAATTTTGTACGTTGGTCTGTGAATTTGTCAGCAATCTCAGGAATGGTTTAATCGATTTGGATGTAATGTCACTAATGCAATAGTGTAAGTTACCACTTAAAGTTAATTTTTATTTTATTTCTACAAGGTTATAAAGAAAAAAGTTATAATCTTGTTATTCTGAATACGCATAGATATAACTCAGAAAGAATACCACTACGCATAAATGTAACGTCAGAAATCAGCTAGTAATAAACCTAATCGTTTTAATGTATCATAAATCATTAATATTTATTATAATCAAAATATGCTGCCATACAACATATACATTGATTTGTATTAATTAAAACTACCATAAAGTTGAAATATTTAAAGGTTAATGCACTACAAAAAAACTTGCACTACTATCAAATAAAAAAGGTATTATACCAGAGACGACTCCTAACTTGAAAATAAAAATAAAACTCGACCAGAAACAACTTTTAGCCTGATGAAAAAACGACTGTTTTTTTTAATACCAGTAGGCGCTTATTATAAGCGTGTCCCATAAAGTACCATTGTAACCCTGTCATCGCATTTACATACAAAGGGTTGATTCAACGGAGGTCTTTTAGACCGCGCTGACATTTGATGACAATTATCAAACAATTCTTTTCGAAACTGTTGACTTTTTACTGGATTTAGCTTCAATTTTCAATCTACTTCACTAAAGAAAAGATTTTATATGTGTGTTATGCGATATACATTATTTTAGAAACTAAACTACATAATATAATTAACACCCGTGTGAATTGGAAGAGAATGAGATTCTGATGATGACGACTGATATGTTTGTGATATTTTTTGTATATTATTATATAATTTGATTCAGGGGAAAGTTATTTAGTATATATAAATATCTGATCTGATGAAAATACATGAAGAATATTTAATTACAAATAACTAAATGTGTTGTAATAGAATTAATTAACTAAATTGGCACATTACATTTAGTCTATATTCTCTTTGTAATCGCAAATAACCATTAGGTATTTCTTAAAAAATAAATACATAAATTTGAAAATGGAACGTAGAACGTAGAGCAATGATATTCTTTTGTTTCTTTTTAAATTGTATACATTTTGTGTAGAGGTACATATGCATGTATTCTCTTACATACCACATGACTATAACGTCACCGATAAAGATATCATGTTTATTTTTTTATTTATAATATTTAAAATCATTTGAAATAGCAACACGCAAGTTCCTTGCTCGTTCTTCTTGTGATGAGAAGTATGCTCTTTCCAATAGAGCATAGATTAAAAACATTATGACTATTGAAAAGTGCTTAACTTAAGTTTATTTGAATAAAGAATTTTCTATTTTATTTAAGGAATAAATTAACATACGTTATTACTCCACAAAATATATTCTATATGTGTATAATAAAAACACGTAAAAGTAAATATCACTCTTAAATCCTCATAGATAGGTATAAGAATGTTATACTATATATATTTCAAGGTGTTTATAGAGTGCTAGCTGTCCCGGCAAACGTTGTTTTGCTATATAAATTAATAACGCTATAAAAAAATAGGGGTTGATGATAGAAGGGTGAAAATTTAGGATAGTATGTATTTTTGTATGTTGTATCCTAAAAAATAGAAACTACAAATTTTGTCTATAAAATAAAAAATTTTGGGGTGGACTACCCCTAATATTTAGTTGGATGAAAAATAGATGTTGGCCGATACTCAAACCTACTCAATAGGCTCACAAAATTTCATGAGAATCGGTCAAGCCATTTCGGAGGAGTATGGGAACGAAAACTATGACACGAGAATTTTATATATAAGATGATCTGCTTAGATATTACTCTGACAGTAAAGTATAGTAAGAAAAATCTCTGGATATATTAGGTATAAGAACGCCTTATAGATTTTTCTTCGAAGAATAACGTGCACAAGTTCCGCATTAATTATTTATACCGAAGTTCATTCTATTGAGTCATATATAACTAACGTTGACATTCCAATATGCTCGCCAATGCTAGTCGATGTCACGTCATTGTTATAATATCGACATGTTTGTCACAAGTCACGTCACACTCTTGACTGATTTTGATGGGGACGACGACCTCGAATGCACAAACATATATTCCCCATTCCACTGTATTGTAAGATAAAACTATCAGTTTTCAGACCTAGTGATCAGGCGACATCCATTCAACCGTTCAAACTTAAGAATGTAATAAACAAATAGATTTACAATTGAATTTTTCAATGACAAAATCACTTATTCATATAGAACCTTACTGCCTCTTGTGGAATTCATATTTTTTGATTCCTACCATCCAGTTCAGCCAGGTAATTCAGTTGAGAACAACTCGCTAGAGACTCAGCTCTAACTTACTTTTTTATGTTATAATAATTATAATAAATAATATCTCAGGATAATTAAAAAAATATTATTTATTATAATTAAATTAATATCTCAGATAAATTAATTAACACATCGTCGTCTAGTCCCAAACTAAACAGAGCTTGTGTTATAGGTTTTTTTGTAAATACATACACAACATATATAGAAAACATCTAAACCAATACAAACAATCATACTCATGGATACAAATATTTGCACCTATCAGGGAATCGAATCCGAGACCAAAAGACACGCTAGACTACCTTAACCGTCATAACATCATTTGTAAAAGAAGCGCTAGACCACCTAAACCGTCATAATATCATTTATAATAGTAGTATTAATAAAGTAACACAAGTTGAGTCCACATAAGTTATTTCTGTTGACGATCATTCTATTGAGTTACTTCTAAGTAACATTTATATTCCAATAAGCTACTCGTCGCTGTCTAGTCATTGTAATAATATCGACATTTTTGTGATCAATGTCACATCTTGACTCATCATTGCTTGTTTAGTCATCTAGTAATGAATTGCCAGGGTATTTGTTATCTTACTAATATTATAAACGCGAAAGATTATGAGTTTAAATTGATAGATAGATGGATGTTTCTTACTGTTTTACGTAAATACTAAATCTGCTGCACTCATTTTATTTCATTTTTTAATCTTTATGTTTATTTTTTAGAACATAATTAACTTCCCGTTATTGATACATTATTAGTTATCTCAAAAAGAAAATAAAGTCGTCCCTCTATCCCACTGCTGGGTAATCAAGCCTTCTTGATTGTCAAAACCATGGCACAATATAGGAAATTGACTTTTGACACAATATATCTGTGGTATAGTACATATTAAATAAAAAAAGGTACAATTAAATTAGGAAATTAAGTTACAAAATAACTTTACCTTACTATAAAGTATTTTGTCATTTGATTTTCAAATTAAAGTAAATAAACTCTTCTAATATGACCACATTTTATTGACATATCTAGCACAATTGAGTTCCGTAGTCACCTCGAAGAAAAGGTGATGCTGGCGTCCAAATAGCTCTGCGTGTTCAATAGAGCAAAGCGGTACTTCACTGCGAACCAGACACTCTTAAATTTATTTTTATTTATTATTTATTTATATCAGGCTACTGTGCTCATATTATAAATAAATAGACTAACATATATATAATAGACTATTCATATTTGAATATGAAATAATATAAAATATATATAAGTCACAGGTTCGCACACATTCGACATCGACAGGGAATTAATCTCCATATGCTAGAACCTAAATGATCTCGGCCAGTGCGTTTTCAGAGGAGCTTCCTCCCGCGTACACTTAGATTGTGGAATGAACTACTGTTCTTGTACTGTTTTCTCACGAGACTATAGCATGGGGTTTTCAATAAGGGTTTATTAAGGTTTCTTAAGGTTCGGCAACGTGCACGTAAAACGCCTAGTGTCTCAGGCATCCATAGGCTACGGTAGGCATTTACCATTAGACGGGCCGTATGCCTGTTTGCCGCAATAATAGTATAAAAAAATTAAAAAAAACTTAACGAAGTTTGGTCGCTAAGGTACAATATGATATTCACCAAGCAGGTTTCCATTGACATGGTGTGCCGAAAAAGTTCTATAAGCTCCTGTGGAATTTTGAAATGCATAAGAATCTATTTAAATATTCTGGACACACGTCTGTCACTACATGGTGTTTTTTACTGT